CGAACGGGCCATCTCGTTCCAGTCCAGGCAGCTCAAGGCAGCCGAACGGAACTATCCAGTCCACGACAAGGAGCTACTTGCCATGAAGTACGCTCTTGTCAAGTTCCGAGTGCACCTCCTGGGCTCGACGCCCTTTGTCGTTTATACAGACCACGCGTCCTTGCGGACTGCCGTCAACACGCCGCATCTCTCACAGCGGATGGCGCGTTGGCTGTCATTCTTCGCGGAATACAACTTCCGTGTCGAGTACAAGCCGGGCAAGTTGAACGTGCTTGCCGACGCGCTGTCGCGCCGACCCGACTACGAGCTTGCTCATATTAGTCGGGTCACGACGGATCTGTATGATCGCATCAGGCTGGGGTACCGAGACGATGCCAGTCTCGGACCTCTTGTGCGATTCTTGGCCGCTGGCTCGGAAGCCAAGGCCGAGTGGCTCACGCCCCGACAACGTGCAAGGCTGCACCGCTATGAGTGGGCTGACGGTTTGCTCCACTATAGGGTCGAGCCCGAGGATCCTCCCCGTATTGTCGTGCCCAACGACGAGGATCTCAAGTACGACATTCTGATGGAGGCGCACGACGCTCCATCCAGTGGCTATCTCGGCCGTGAGAAGACGTACGCGTCTGTCTCGCAGATGTTTTGGTGGCGTCACATGTACAAGTGGGTCGCCACCTACGTCCGTACGTGCGAGACGTGCCAGCGCGTGAAGCCTGCCGGTCACGCCTCGGCACCATTGCAGAGCCTGCCGGTCCCAGCGGACGGCTGGAAGTCGATGAGTCTCGACTTTGTCTTCGGCCTCCCGGCCGATGCCCGTGGCAACACCGGTGTTGTTGCTTTTGCCGTCTGAGCAAGATGGTACACTTTGCTCCAGTTCGTGACACCGTCACTGGTGACGAGGTCGCTCGCCTGTTCATGGACTGTGTCTTCCTGCACCACGGTCTGCCCGAGACCATTGTCTCTGACCGAGACCCGCGGTTCACCGCTGCGTTCTGGCAGACGCTGTTTCGCCTTCTCGGCACACGGCGGTCGATGTCGACGGCGGACCACCCGCAGACGGATGGCCAGACGGAGCGCGTCAATCGCGTGCTCGAAGACACGCTCCGTAGTATCTGCGCGGAGACGCCCCGCTCTTGGGCTGATCGCTTGCCCATGGTTGAGTTCGCACTCAACAATGCGGTACATGCATCGACGGGCTTTACGCCCTTTTACCTGAACGGGTTGCGCCACCCTCAGGTGCCGCTCACATTACGAGGCAGTACCGGGGCTTCGGTCCTAAGTGGGGGAGAGGCTCGGAAAACCTTTTCCTCCCAAGTCTCGGACGTGAGTCCAGCCACCTTGCGGAAGCAACTGTCCTCGTTTGCCGAAGAAAGGCTGAACATAATCAGCAGGGTGCGAGACACCATGGCGCAAGCCCAAGATAAACAGAAGGAGTACTCTGACCGAAATGGAAGAGGAAACATGAACGTGTTTAAGGTTGGGGATTTAGTTCTCCTAGATACTAGAAACCTACCGCTAAACACTGTTAGCTCGGTCGAGAGCAACAAGCTGAAGCACCGCTTCATTGGACCCTTCACGGTCCTCAGCCGGCATGGCGCGGCGTACACCATAGACTTGCCCAAGTCGATGACGACTCACCCGACGTTTTACGTGGGTCGTCTTAAGAGATACCATGACCATCTGGCTCTGGCTGCCCCGCAAGAAGCGGTGGGTGGCCCGGTGGAGAAGAGCGCAGCTTCTCGAAGCGCGGCGTCGAGTCGCGGTAAGGCGCCTGATACGCGCGCTGGTCGTAAGACGGCGCGGCGTGCATCGGAGCAGCATACGCAGGGGGGCCCGTACGAGCCCTGGTCAAACTGGGCCTGATACGAGTGGGGCTGCTGCTGCTCCGGATACGGCGCGTGGCCATGAAGCTCGGCCCGAAGGCCAGCGAGCTGGTTTCGCAGCGAGTCGTAAGACGACAGGTCGGCTCGACGATCCACACGGCCATGGAGACTGCGAGTTTCTTGATAGAGCGAGGCAACATCCTCACGGAGCCGCTCCACGGCACCAGGCTGACCAGCAGGAGCGGCAGCCTCGCCACCAAGGCCGACGCCAAGCGCGATCTCGAGGACGTACACACGGTCCCGGGGAAGACGAATCTCCTCTTGCTGCAGGGCCACCACCTGACTCGGGGCCCCAGCATACGGCTGCGTCGCCTCAGGCTCGTAGCCATGGCCGTGCGAGGCCACCGCCGGCCCTCCTTGATCGTAATGGGCAGATCCACTACCACGTGGAACGAGTCGTCCGGGAGCGGCGGCTCCATGGCAAGCGCCAGCTGCTCGTGAAGTGGAGGGGTTACCCTGAGTCGGATAACTCGTGGGAGCCCGTTGAGCAGCGCCAGGCAGACTGCCCGAAGGCTGTTGCGATATGGGACGAGAAGCAGCGGCAGCTTCGTAAGTAGTCCTTGGCTTCTTGGCCGGTACCCGGGGCACGGTAGCAGACGTAGTCGCACCACGCCCACGCTCTTCACGAGCTTTGGCTCTCGCCTCTTGCTTCAGCTCGTCCATCTTCGAGTGGAGCTTGCGCTTGCTCACGAGTTGAGCGAGCTCGATGCGGAGCTCGCGCACGTCCAGGATTGCGGACAGAGTGCAATCCTCACGGAGTTCTTTGGACTCTTGGTCGGAATACCCTTTGCGCTGGACGTAGCGCCAGAAGAGGTCTTCCACCTCGCTCCGGGTCATGTTGTCATTCGGCTTGACCCAGTGGAAACCCCACACAGGATGGAGTCCACCCTTGTCCTCCGGCTTCTTGCGAAGCGAGGTGAACTCCTTCAGTGTGAGCTTGTGTGGTGCTAGTAGCACACCGGGCGACTTCAACGTCGCCAAGAAAGAGTGGCTCTTGCTCAACAAGAGCACGCTCATAGGAACCCCTCGAGGTGTACCCGCCGATAAGGCCACGAGGAGCCGAGAGCTTCTCCAACAGCGCTGGCGCACCAGTGCCAGGCTCGGGCGGGAAGTAGCCCTGCGGGTACGTGGCATCCCCGCCTGAAGAAGACTCGATGGCAGTCTTGGCAGTCGGTTGCCTGGCATACGCACCCGAGCTAGCAGCGTGGTATTGCTGCTGCTGCTCGTCGAGGTTGTTGGAGAGCTCCTTGGGCTCGTGAACGGCACCCTCCTCGCCCTCAGACTCCGAGTCGATGAACAGCTTGGAGCTGGAGCCGCGAGGCGACCTGGAAGCTGAACGCTTCTTCGCCTTGGCCTCGGCGGCCTTCGCTGCGGTAGCCGCTTTCGACGCTTGGGCACGCTCACGACCTTGTGCCAGCGTCAGATGCTTGGATGCCAGCACCTCATTGGGCTTGGAGCCCGCGTCGCTCGGCGACTTCTCGGCCACGACCCCAGCGTCGGCCATGGCGACTTCGTCGTGCGACTGCTTGCTGTCGCCTGAGCCGGACTCGGCGTCCTCCGCCTCCTTCTTTGACGAGGCCTTTGCGTCGGCCGAGGCGTTGGTCATGTCGCCTGCCGCCAGCTCCGTGCCTTCGGCAGCGTGCGTGCTGCCCTCCGAGACGTTCTCGTCGACGGGTGAACTCTCACCGGAGTACTGGACCATCGTGCAGTCAAAGACGGCGGCTTCCCAGTCGCGAGCCGGGCTTTTATGGCCCCGAGGACTCTCCTCCTTGCCTTGCGCGGCGTCAGGAGACTTGCTCCGAGCCCCGGCCTGACGGCCACTCTCCGGCGTGCTGCTACGAGAGCGCACCACCTCCTCGACCCCCTTCGTGGCCTCCATCAGCGCGGACGACTCGTCCTTGGCCTTGGCCGCCCTGGTTTTCGGCCCTACGGCCCGCGGTTTCGGAGGTGCTTTCGCACTGCGCGCACTGCGCTTTGGAGGCATGCTTCCGGTCGACGTGGAGACCCTGCGGCTTGCTCGGCGATGCGCCAGTTGCTCTGTGAGGCCCGGGAGCCGAGGCGCCAGAGCTCGCGCCGTTGTCGATGGATGTCGACTTTGCGAGTGAAATGTGAGTCGCCGGCGTAACCTCGCTCTGATTGGTCGATAAGATCGAATCTAAGTGGGGGAGGATGTAACGGGGTTACATGGAATAGTGACCCTGTCACTATTCCGGGATGGCTACATCGGTCACTCCCCTGGATAGTGACCCAAGTGGCCTCAGAGCCAACAGATACATTTTGTATGACACAAACTATAGGGAACTTAGGATTTGTATGCAGGCCAAATCTGTACCAACCTATAAATACATTCAGTCTTAGATCTACCGCTTTTCAAGTCAAGTCGTCCCCTTCAGACCAGGGACACGTGAACGGCTGTTCACTTGGAGTTTGTATACTCCTGCGTCCTCTGTTAAGAAGTGCTGTGTGCCCCATCACAATTTGAATAGTGGACAGCGTGTCGTCACGCTTCGTGCCATATAGTTATAAATATTATAGCATCCAGCACAACAAATACTTTTATCTAGTGCTTTAACCACGTATCGAGTGCAATACAAGCACATTATCACTATACTGGTGTAGTGATAATGCGCTTGTATTGGTACACCTTGAAACGATATTGTACCGTCATTGTGGTACAGATTTAGATAGTGATGTCTCTGGACTGTGATAAAAAGTGGTTTCCCGAGGCTATCACTACGGAGAGGATCGTCTGCACATGTACATGTTCGACCACTGAAATCGACCAGCGAAATATTTTTGCCGCAACTTCGTCTGGAGACATAACTGAGTCTGTGACTTAGTTCTGCTGTGGATGGAGGAGGCGATCGCGACGCACAACTTGTCATGATGCGCTGGATCTGCGAGCCCTGGCATTGCCGTCTCGTCCAGTGGCTAATGAGAAGTTGCTAACATGCTTGCGCACAGGGGCATTTCCAGAAGATATGGCTAAAACCTTTTTTAAAAGGTTTTAGTCATATTTTCTGGAAATGCCATTAAAATGCTGCTGCCGCTAGAATACATGTACTAAATCCATGATACGTAGAGATTCAGTGTTGACCGTGAATTTCGAACAGCAAAAGTGTAAACTAAAAAAACTGGATTAAGATGTATCATTGCGGAGCCACTACGAACGACGAACCGCTCTCACTGCCAACGCAGCCAGATAACCGCAAGATAAAGCAAACTTTTAGCAGGCTCCGCCAGGCACCACAGGCTCAGTCGTCGGAGCCGTCGTAGGGGCTGAGGTGGGGGCATCAGTGGGGGCAGCAGTAGGGGCATCCGTGGGGGCCGAGGTGGGGACATCCGTGGGCGCCGAAGTAGGGGCATCCGTGGGGGCATCAGTCGGAGCGGACGTAGGGGCATCAGTCGGAGCGGAAGTCGGGTTCGTCAAGGCGTCACAGTCCGATTCGAAGTTGGTCGCGAGCTGGTGCACGTTCATGACGGCGTTGCTGGTGGGAATGGTCAGGTCGCAGTCGGGAGGGTTCGTCGCGAGCACCGCCACGATCAGGTCGTGACACTCCTGAACGCCGCACATGGAAACCATCTCCGTGTCCGTGGGCAGCGCCGTCGCGTACAGCATGTTGTAGCCCGACTTGCTCGCGCAGTCATTCAGCGACGAGCCCGTGAGCAGGCCGATCATGCCGAGGTACGCAGCCTGCTGCTGCGTGCCCGTGCAGGCCTCGGCGCTCACAGAGCTGACGAGAGCGGCGGCGAAGGCGGCGAGAGCGAAGTACGTGTTCATGGTCTCAGGCGGTTGGAGTTACTTGCGAGGAGCAAATTGGGGAATGGCAGAAGCAGCAGGACCGCTTCTTGTTGATCTCGTTGCCTTTGCTGTTCGAGCTAGCGCCCTGACACGACTGGTCTATGCAGAACTCCGCTGGCCTCGACTCGAGGCCCTTGAGTCCGAGTTACCGTTGATACTGTCAACTTGACAGAGAGCACTGCTGCGGATCCGCGTGGTACATGCGGGGATTCACGATGATATATTGTATAGAGCTGCTTCATAACACCATTAAATGTTTTGGTTTTAATACATTGCAGTGCACCGGCGGCAGTCGAAGTACTATACATGGTTGTGGATATTGCTTCATTCAACTCGCAGCACACCGCCACCACTTGATGCCTGTTGTGTTCGCTGTACATGTAATGGATGCGGTGGATTCTCGAAGCAATGAGGACGACAACAAGCGTGGCGAGTATGGTAGGCTAAGTGGGGTAAAAAGCCTAGGAGCGTACAGCTACAGCTAGATCCCTCTGGCCATTTGTCAGCGCCGCCTGTTGCACGCTCGGCACCGCGGCCACTCTACTGCTCAGTGAGCAGTGCTCACCACTGGGCGGGCGGGCATCACTTACGCCGGCAAAGCTGCACTGGGTGCACTCGCAAGTGCGGCTGCAGCAGAGAGGATCAGAGTCTGAGTACATACCGTGACATGACTCATGATCCGCCAAGCGGGACAAGGCCGCCTGGCGCATTACTTGCCGGCGCCGCTCTCTTGTCCGGATCCCCCGTGCAACTTGTCTGCTCGAAACTTCAGTCGTCGACACTGCAGTTGGTATCTTTGGTGTATCTTGCTGCGTGACTGTAGTGGGACGAGTGTATCCGCCACGTACGCATCTGATCTACGCGTCTCAATCGATCCCGTCGTCTGCGCTGACCAACTTGTTGAATGCCGCCGCCAGCGCCGCGGACGCTATCTAGTCGAGCACCGCGCCGCTGCCGGTAGTCGCATGGAGAAAGCGACTGCTGGCAACTCAGCTTCCAACTCAACTCGTACAGGGCGAGGCTCGGCGACGATGGCGGCTGGCCCACTTAAACAAGTGCTTCATTAAGCTCCACCGTCAGCGCTAGGAGCAGCCCAGCCGCCGACTGCCTCGGTATCTCAGGATTCACTGTTCTCGCCCTATCTCCACCGTGCATCCCTTTCGCCGAAGGCCAGCCTTCTGCTCTCCTCTGGGCTCTACAGCTCCAGCTCGACCGAACACCGCGATGGAGCTGGTCATCGAGCAGCAAAGAGCTGCTGGGCACCAACTCTCCTTCGGACAGAGCGCAGTCGGCGGACACCGGCGGCTGCGGCAAGACCTCGCTCCGAACCATGTCGAGCGCGTTGCTTCAGCTCACTCTGCAATTCGCTCTGCTCTCCACACCCACCTAACAGCACCATGAACGCCAAGACCGTTGCCGCCGCCGCCTTCGTTGGCTCCGTCGCCGCCGACACGTGCTCGTCCTCGCAGCAGACCTCCGCCTACACGACGCTGGCCAGCCTGCTGACGCTCGACTCGTTCCAGGGCTGTGTCGACGACTCCGGCTACAGCCTCCTGTACTCCACGTCGCTGCCCACGGACGCCGAGTACGTCGAGATGTGTGCGTCCAGCAACTGCCAGTCACTCATCGAGTCCATCATTGCGCTGAGCGCTCCCGACTGCACGCTGACTGTGCCTACGAGCGGCCTGGAGGTGAACGTCTACGAGCTGGCGAACGGCTTCTCGGCCGAGTGCTCTTCTGTCTCGTCGACCACTTCGACCACGTCCACCGCCTCCAGCACGAGCACGGAATCGACGACGACGGCCCCCACAGCCACGACGGCCGCGACCACGACGACTGCTGCCACGTCGACGGCCTCCAGCTCGGACAGCACCACGACCGCCACGACGGCCCCCACGGCTACGACTGCTGCGTCCTCCAACTCGACGACGACCACGACGACCACCATCACGTCGACTGCCACCGCCTGCTAAGAGGGTGCTGGGGTCAGTTCATTCTTCTAGACACCTGTAGCGTTGCGAAGAATACGGCTAATGAAATGCCTTCATTTTTGAGTATCCTACGTTTGTTTCGTCTTTACGACTTCAATGTGCAAGTTTGATCACCAGAAGCGCAGCAACCTATCGAAGATAAAACGGCAAACTATGTAGTGCGAGTTAGCTTGTACTACTACTACAACAGGACTAGTGCTACGTTTTTTTCTAGTGCGTGTAGTACAGCAGAATTGTTTGAAAGAATTGAACGTCTGTAAGGCAGCGATTCGGAGAGCTTCACGTCGCTTTCGTGAATACCAGGCCTCGGAAAAAATAATTATTCCATTGCAATTACTGTATTTTTGTACGGAAATATGTATTATTGGTTGCTGGTCGTATTGAAATTGTTATTATTGAAGCCCAATTATCAGTAAAATGTTTGACCATACCAAAACCGAGTTTAACATGATTCTCAATATAAAAAGTAATTGAAATAAATACATATTATTGGTGAATGATTTATTGAAATGATTATTATGGAGACCGAACTCTTGCAATTCAATATGATACTGTATTTTCCGAGGCCTGGTGAATACGTGTAGTGAATGCATATTAACCTGCAGTGCGAGCCAAATCTCTGCGGACAAGGAGGGGGGCGAGAAGGGCTACTTTCGGTTATACATGCATTGGTGCGTTAGGACAGAGAGAAGTGAGCTAGCTACAGTGCTGCAGTGTGTAGGAAGTCAACAATCGCCCGCTTCCCTCAGGAAAAAATCCTTGCATTTTAGCAGGCCGTAGCCGTCGTCGTGGTGGTGGCCGTCGTGGCGTCCGAGCTGGAAGCCGTCGTGGCCGTCTCCGTCGAGTTCGACGAAGCGGTCGTGGCGTCGCTGGCGGTCGACGCAGCCGTCGAGGTCGCGGCCGACGCCGTCGTGGTCGTCGCAGTGGTCGAGGTCGAGGTCGTGTCGGCGCTGGTGCTGGCAGCGGTGGACGTCGTCGAGGTGGAGGTGGTGGAGGTCGTGCTGGTGCTGGCTGACGAGTCGCTCGACAGCGACGAGCAAATGCTCGAGAAGCCGTTCGCCAGCTCGTAGACGTTCACCTCCAGGCCGCTCGTGGGGACCTCCAGGGTGCAGTCGGGCGGCTTGAGCGCAATGGTGGACTCGATGAGCGACTGGCAGTCGCTGGACGCGCACATCTTGACGTACTCGGCGTCCGTGGGCAGCGACGTGGAGTACAAGAGGCTGTAGCCAGAGTCGTCGACACAGCCCTGGAACGAGTCGAGCGTCAGCAGGCTGGCCAGCGTCGTGTAGGCGGAGGTCTGCTGCGAGGACGAGCAGGCGTCGGAGCTGGATGAGCTGGAGGCGGCGGCCGAGCCGATGATGGCGGTAACGGCGATGGCGAGGACGGTCTTGGCGTTCATGATGGTACTCAGGTGGGGTGGGTGGAGCTCGGTAATCCGCCCGGGTTGGTTCGTGTTGCTGGTGGAAAGCAAATTCTGGAATGGGAGTCGAGTTGAGATCGCGAGTCTGTGAGAATGATCGCATGTGTGACGAGTAGAGTTTTCAACATGGAAGCGAGCACCAGACAGCAGCTGCATCTTGGTGCTGCTAAGATAGGTGCTGCAGCGCTCGGTGGCAGACTCCGTTGCTCGCGGCGTGGCTCGCGAGGATACCCGTGTCAGCAGGTGTGATCACTTCAACGTTGCTTGGCCGCTCTCAACGGATCACGCGCACATAAATGACCCCTGATTATCCCTACGGAGTAGCTTTATGCACCCTACAGGCAAGTTACGCGAGCCCGGTGTTGCTATCTACCTAAAATCTTCTTACAGCAGAGTCCAGCTTTTGTGAACAGTCAGTAGGGTACGTGTTTGAATTTCATGAAAGTCACTGGTATGTGATCTAACTGTAAGACAGCATCACTAGCTAGCAACGTTTGCAAGTTGAAAGAGTACAAAGCGAAAACTGGTTGAGATGTAATGAAGCGAGAGTCTCACGGATCTCCGGGCCTCTGCTCGTCGACTGCCAAGATACACCATGCTTGTCCTATCAAAGTAGGCTCCACCCTAGCACCGTAGTCACCGAATGACTGCAACTGCCCCTCAAAACCTCTACCCGGGCTTCGAGCTTTGATGAACAGAGCTCTTGGCAGCAGGAATAACCCGAGGCCCCCTAATAGCGTATACATCGGCTTATTGACCGCAAGTTGTTGTAGCTTAGCCCTTCAAGCCTCCCCGCCATTCCAGAATTTGCTTTCCACCAGCAACACGAACCAACCCGAGCGGATTGCCGAGCTCCACCCACCCCACCCGAGTACCATCATGAACGCCAAGACCGTCCTCGCCATCGCCGTTACCGCCATCATCGGCTCGGCCGCCGCCTCCAGCTCATCCAGCTCCGACGCCTGCTCGTCCTCGCAGCAGACCTCCGCCTACACGACGCTGGCCAGCCTGCTGACGCTCGACTCGTTCCAGGGCTGTGTCGACGACTCTGGCTACAGCCTCTTGTACTCCACGTCGCTGCCCACGGACGCCGAGTACGTCAAGATGTGCGCGTCCAGCGACTGCCAGTCGCTCATCGAGTCCATCATTGCGCTCAAGCCGCCCGACTGCACCCTGGAGGTCCCCACGAGCGGCCTGGAGGTGAACGTCTACGAGCTGGCGAACGGCTTCTCGAGCATTTGCTCGTCGCTGTCGAGCGACTCGTCAGCCAGCACCAGCACGACCTCCACCACCTCCACCTCGACGACGTCCACCGCTGCCAGCACCAGCGCCGACACGACCTCGACCTCGACCACTGCGACGACCACGACGGCGTCGGCCGCGACCTCGACGGCTGCGTCGACCGCCAGCGACGCCACGACCGCTTCGTCGAACTCGACGGAGACGGCCACGACGGCTTCCAGCTCGGACGCCACGACGGCCACCACCACGACGACGGCTACGGCCTGCTAAAATGCAAGGATTTTTTCCTGAGGGAAGCGGGCGATTGTTGACTTCCTACACACTGCAGCACTGTAGCTAGCTCACTTCTCTCTGTCCTAACGCACCAATGCATGTAAAATCGAAACGCGTCCTTCTCTTTTCTTCTTCTTCCGTCTTCTTCCACGTCTTCTTCTTCTCTTGAGCGTTGGTCCTGCGTTGCAGCCTGCACCTGCAACTTGCAGGTTGCAGTCCTGCTCATGGTCTCCCCTGCGTGCAGAGACCGTGCAACAACTTGTCCTCTATTGGTGAAAATCCTGTCACAACGACTTTGATAAGCTACGTTCGCCGCGATGCCGACGCCGCCGCTGCCGAGGCTGCTGCTCTTCTGCGACTTCCTCGAGTGCCGCGTGCACACGATGGGCGTGTCGCTGCTGCGCCGCATGCTCGCCGACTTCTTCGCCGGCAACGAGCACACGCTGCTGGACTTCATGCGCCTGGGCGGGAGCGTCGTGGCCGTGCTGCCCGTGGAGAGGAGCAGCGCCCGACGCCAGCAAGAAGCTGCGCAGTTGCTCGCGCAGCAGAAACAGACGGAGGCGGAGAACGTCCCCCAAGACACACCGAATCAGATGGACACTACTCAACCGACACAGATGGACCCTTCTCCATCCGAGCCCTGTGTGTTCCGCTATCTGCTAGCGCGCGTGGCGACCAAGAACATTTTGTGGCTGCGGGACATGTTCAGAGAGTTCTGCAGGGGGGAGGACGCGCTACTGCGTGAGCTCATGCGGCGCGGCAACGAGCCTATCAGTGTGATCCCCGTGGACATCCAGGCCTTGTGTCGGGCCCCGCTGCCCCCGCCGCCGTTAATGGTGGATTCAGAAGCAGCGGCGTCGTCGACGACGACGCAACCTCCGCCGAGAAAGAGGCCAAGAGTGTTGGAGCAGAACTCGAATGGACACAGTGAGGCTGCTGCTGCTGCTGCTGTTACTGATGCCGTTGAAAGACGCGCTAGGAAGCAAACTCGCGCGGAGGCAGTCCTAGCACCGGCCAAGGGCGACGCGATCGTAGCTGCTACGAACCCGACGGTGGAAGGACCGATTCTGCCCTCGGATGATGAAATCCGCACGGCCATTATGAACGCGCTGGAGCGGGTGGAGGCCAAGGAGCCGTGGAAACAGGCCTTCAACTTCGCCGACATGTCAATGCCGTTCGACTCGCCCGAGAAGTATCCGAAGCTGGTTGTGGTGCTGCAGGAGTTCTGGGAGACGTGCGCCCAAGCTGTTTGGGAGCGGCAGTTTTGGGCGCCGCTGTCTCGCGAGCGCTACCATGAGCTGCACACGCTGCGGAGAGGCCGGCAAAGCAGAGCGCAGAACTCGTTTGAGAAGAACATCATCCCTCTCGTCTACAAGGAGTTTGGGGCGGCTTTCTTCGTCCGACTGGACCAGAGTGCCGAGCGCCACTGCAGTTGGTACTACCTCGACCAAGTCGTGGATTTGTTCACATTGGCGCAGCGTTGCGGTTTGGCGACGTGTCTGAAGTACATCGAGTCGGAGGCGTTCACGAGATTCCCAGTCGCCCCCGGCGTCACCCGCAACTTCTTCTTGAGAGCCAACGGCAAGAGTATCAGCATGTGGTCGTCGTCCCCTGCAGTGCGACCGATATTGGACGAGATCGTCGCCTTGAAGGCCAAGACCAAGGACAAGTGACGACTGGCCGACGTTTGAAGCGTTATTAAGAGCGTGGGGGTCCTTCATCTCGCATTCCTCTGTTTTGTGTCGTTTTATCTCCGGCAGCTCACTGTTTGGGGAGTGTAGCTACCAGCAGTGAAGTGCAGATTGAAGGCATGTTTGACCGTGTAAATTCTACGTGTTGCAACTGTTTCGCGTTGACTTCGACCAGATAATCCGTCACAAGGTCAACAATTTACCTTTGCACTACTGAACCAGTGTCAGTTGATGCTGATGCGCTCTTCATTGTGGAATACTTCTCCAAGCTCGGCAAGTTGAAGCGCGCGGTTTCGGCGTTTTCGATTGGCTCTCGCTCACCTCTCCTCCATCATACCCTGACGCCCAATCCCCCACCCTACTGCATAACGTAGCCACTACACAACGACACCAACGACACTAGCAGCCATGGCGCCCGAGCGGCGGCGGCGGCTGTGCATCGCCATGTGCTGCGACTTCTTCTTCCCGCGCTTGGGCGGCGTGGAGATGCACATGTGGTCGCTCTCGCAGTGCCTGCTGCGGCGCGGCCACAAGGTCATCGTGCTCACGCACGCCGTGCCCGGGCCCAAGGCCAAGGGCTCCGAAAGCGCCGCTGAGACCCCCACGCAGCGCGCGGGCGTGCGCTACATGACGCACGGCCTCAAGGTCTACTACCTGCCGGTGACGCCCGTGGTGGACAACGTGACGTACCCGACGTTCGTGGGCCACTTGGCGCTGTTCCGGGCCATCTGCGTCCGCGAGCAGGTGCAGATCGTGCACGGCCACCAGGCCACGTCCACCTTCATGCACGAGTGCCTGCTGCAGGCCAAGGCGCTGGGCCTGGGCGTCAAGACCGTGTACACGGACCACTCGCTCTTCGGCTTCGCGGACGCGGCCAGCGTGCACCTCAACAAGGTCATGAAGTTCTCCATGTCCACGGTGGACGCGGCCATCGGCGTCTCACACACCTGTCGAGAGAACCTCGTGCTGCGCGCGTCGCTGCGGCCCGACAGGGTGGCCACCATCCCCAACGCCGTGGACGCCACCAAGTTCGCGCCCCCGTCGCCGGCCACGCGGCTCGGGCCGGACGACCCCATCACGGTCGTCATCATCTCGAGGCTGGTCTACCGCAAGGGCATCGACCTGGTGGCCCGGGCCATCCCCATCGTGTGCGCGCGGGACTCGAGAGTGCGCTTCCTGATCGGCGGCGACGGGGCCAAGCGACTGCTGCTCGAGGAGATGCGGGAGAAGTACCGACTGCACGACCGCGTGACGCTCTACGGCGCCGTGCCCCACTCCCAAGTGCGCGACGTGCTGTGCCAAGGCCACATCTTCCTCAACAGCTCGCTGACCGAGAGCTTCTGTATCGCGATCCTGGAGGCCGCAGCGTGCGGGCTCTTTGTGGTGAGTACGCGCGTGGGCGGAGTGCCAGAAGTGCTGCCCCCTGACATGGTGCAGTTCGCTGCGGACATCACGCCCGAGGCGCTCGCGGAGGCGGTGCTGGCCGCGGTGCCTCGACTGGCCGGCGTGGATCGACAGGAGTTCCACGACCGAGTGGGGAAAATGTACAACTGGGATGCGGTGGCTGTGCGCACGGAGAAAGTGTACGAGAAGGTGTGCGCTCTGCCCGACAGCTCGCTGCTCCACCGTCTGCAGCTGTATCATGGAATCGGCCCAGTGGCCGGGATGTTGGCTTGCGTCATTGCTGCGGTCTTGCATTTGTACGTCGTGTTTCTCGAGTGGTGGCAACCTGCGGCTGACATCGAGCGGGCGCTTGAGTGGACACCGATCTCTCTCCAAAGTGATGATGGCGATGAAACAACTGGGCAACTGGGCGTAGACGAATGAATTCGAGCGTGTCTTCGCCATTTACTAGACTCTTTCAAGGAATAAAACGCCGACATGAATACCAGGGTGGGCTGTGGATTGTGCTGGACGTGAAGTGGGTTTGCGCGTCGTTCCTCATTCGAGCGTTCACTTCTTGGCCTTGCGCTTCGAGCCGTTGCTCCGGTCCTTGAGGGCACAGATCTCACGCAAAATAGGCCCCATCGCGCTGGCGACGGACCACATGCTCTTGCTCTTGCCGTTGTTCGGTCTGGCCACGCGAACTTTTCTCCCAGGCACAAGGGGGAATCGCTGGAGCGTTTGCGACTCGACGTACTGGAGGCATGCAGCCAAGCCCACGCGCTGGGCGATGGTGACGAGGTCCTGTACGGGCTCCACGTACCACCAGCCCTTGTGCGGCTTCGAGCGTTGATCCAGTTGGACGAAAAACTTGGCGCCAAGCTCTTGGTAGATGCTCCTCATCACAGTCTGGAAGGCCTTGCGCGCTGCCGCTTGACGCGTCTTCCTTGCGGAATGGCGACGTCGATCGCTCAGGTACCACCAGCGGCGCCCAGAATGGGCGCTCCCAGACTGCGCGAGCGTGCTTCGCCCAGAACTCCTTGAACGCTGCAGCTAACTTGGACCGCTTCACGGGCAAGGGCAACGTGTCTGGGTCGGAAGACTTGGTTCCAAGGCTCCTGCTCCTCGATGCGATCGAGCACCTCCATGGTGCAGATGTTCAGATCTTCCACCGACGGCGGCATTGCTGCGACTGAAGCCAACTCGGCGAGTGTCGTGATCTCATCGTCGTCTTCCTCCTCGTTCTCCTCCGAGTCACTGCAGGGATCTAATTGGTGTTCTTGTTCCAGTCTCTCTTGAAGTGAAGTCCCGGTCTGCAGCTGCATCTCCGACGCTGGAGCGAACTGTGACTGCATTGACCTCGCTTGGAGAGCCTGAATGTCCACGGGGATGACGCTGACGACCTCGTTGCCGCGACTCACGAACGCACGCACCAGAGCGTCGTCTCCGTTGCAGAACTCGAGGAACATGTCCCGCAGCCAGAAAATGTTCTTGGTGGCCACGCGCGCCGACAGGTAGCGGAAGACGCAGAGCTGGAACTGCTGTGCGTCGGAATTCTCCTTGATCTGCTGAGCCAGCAGGCGAGCCGCTTCCTCTCGGTAGACGCGACTCGTCCTCTCCATGGACATCACCGTCACGATACTCGCTCCGAGACGGATAAAGTCCTGCAGCGTGTGCTCGTTGCCGACGCAGAAGTCGCTGAACATGCGACGCAGCAGAAGCAGGTTCGACGTGTGCAGGCGGTTCTCGAGGAAGTCGCAGAAGAGCAGCAGCGTCAAGAGCGACGGCATCTCGATCTCTCTTGTACCGTGCTCGTGCCAAGGGAAAGCTGCTGGCAGAAAATCTTTTCGACTAATGGCGCAACTTATTGGTAAAGAATTTTGCATCATCGAAAATTTGCCACACAGTACTTACTACACATTGCAACAGCCACCACAGCACCTCTTTACAACACAAGTCATTGATGATACAATGACGCTTAAGCGAAGGCCGGGACTAGAGCAACGATCCCCCTTGGCACAGGACGATGTTGTCGTTGTCGGATTTCAAGAGCGGACTTGTTGAGTTGCGTCGGCCGACCCTTCCTGCTACATACCGCAAAGTGAGACGCTCAGATTGTAGCCGACGCAGACACCAGACCGCACAAATGATATATCTAGTAGGTTGCTCTCTGGTTGACACCATCAGAGGACTGAATGGACTCACGAACGCAACCATAAAGTCACAACTCCATCGCCGTAACTGCAGTAAAGAAACCAGGTTGAAGCGGAAACTGAGCGCTCAGATCGGACTCCCTTTGATAACAACTTAGTACTATACTCCTCCTCCAAGGCCTCGACTGCTGCGCATTGATGTCCTTGTCCAACGCGACCTCGCTTCATTGCCCTCAGCACTACTGCTCCAAGCGGCAGCAATCCTCCTCGTATGGGCGACGCTCGCCCAGCCATCGCTCCTGCAAGCTCTTCAACCTTGCTGACCAATCAGCGGAGTTGCCCAAATTGCCCAAAACTAGCTTAATTTGGGCTTGTTAGCTGTATCCGCCCAGAGTGTGTAATGTCCCTTCTGACCAATGTGCAACACCAGTCGTCCTCCAAAGATCCGCTTCAGCTTCAGCTCTGACACCAAAAACTGGTTCGCAGTGATCGGACCTCGGTGCAAGGCTGGCTCAGCATCAGGTCGTGGCCCTACAGTGTCTGTAGACTTCAGCCTGCCTCCCAGGCTCCCAGTCAGCTGCAGCGACCAAGTGTGCGCCCTTTTCGGACAGGTAGGCCACCTCTTCATTCCACAACTTGCTCTGTTCCAGACACACAGCTTTCTTCAGCCAACGCAGGTACCATGAACACGAAGACCTTCCTCGCCGTTGCCGCCGCCGCCTTCGTGGGCTCCGCCGTCGCCGAGACGTGCTCGTCGACCGACCAGACCAGCGCGTACTCGTCGCTGGCGAGCGTGCTGACGCTGAGCTCGTTCCAGGGCTGCGCGGACGAGTCTGGCTTCAGCCTGCTGTACTCGACGTCGCTGCCGGACGACGCGCAGTACGAGAAGATGTGCGCGTCGGACAACTGCAAGTCGCTGATCGAGTCGGTGGCTGCCTTGAACCCGCCTGACTGCGACCTGACGGTGCCGACGAGCGGGCTGGTGCTCAACGTGGTGGACCTGACGAGCGGCTTCTCGACCAAGTGCTCGTCGCTGTCCTCTACGTCGACGTCGACGACCTCGACTGCCTCGAGCGCCGCTACGGCCACGACGACGGAGGCTCCGGCCGCCACGACGGCTGCCCCCGCCACGGAGAGCGCCACGACGGAGAGCGCCACGGTGTCCGCTGCGACGGAGGCCCCCGCCGCCACCCCGGCCGCTACCACGCCCACGACGGAGGCGTCGAACTCGACGACGTCAGTGACCCAGACTGCCACGGCCTGCTAAGTTGTAGGTTTGCGCGGCTGGGCTGTCCACGTATATATCATTCTGGGAGTCGAGTCTCGATTGCCCTGTAATAAACCTTTTCGATATCATAGGTTGGGTTGCTGCTTTGTTTCTTCTTGTTGTTTCATTGTGTGTGTTGATCATGGCTTGGGTGGTGTAATCCGAGTCTGTAGCGGTCGTGAGTGCTTGGTGTAGTCCATGGGAGAATCTCGACTGCGGTTGTTTGTAGGTCGAATGATTGTGGCTGCCTCTGTTGGTAGTTGTTGTACCTTTAGTTTTCAAAGCGGAGACGGTAGGAGTTCCAACCTCGGGTACTTCAATCTGCTAAGTCGGAAACAATTGCATGGCGGTTGTGCCGCTCGCAGATGCCTTACCAAACTCGAACGCAGCATATTTTACTGGAGGGGCTGAAGAGCCTGATGCGGATACCGATTGCGGACGATGCGACCGAGGCGATACGCAACGAAGAAGCCTCAACCTGCAGATGACAGGTTAGCAATGCCGCAGATCCTAACTTAGCATCTGTGGGACCGGTCGTTGTAGTCGTTAGCAAGAACTAAGTGGCAACAATGTACCTCAATTCAAACACAAAACCTAGACAACGATTAAACCTGTTGAACCGAAGGCTAATCGGATGCATTCGCCCCCGTATCTGATGCCATCGACCGTTACATTAGCACGACCGCCATGCAATTGTTTCCGACTTAGCAGATTGAAGTACCCGAGGTTGGAACTCCTACCGTCTCCGCTTTGAAAACTAAAGGTACAACAACTACCAACAGAGGCAGCCACAATCATTCGACCTACAAACAACCGCAGTCGAGATTCTCCCATGGACTACACCAAGCACTCACGACCGCTACAGACTCGGATTACACCACCCAAGCCATGATCAACACACACAATGAAACAACAAGAAGAAACAAAGCAGCAACCCAACCTATGATATCGAAAAGGTTTATTACAGGGCAATCGAGACTCGACTCCCAGAATGATATATACGTGGACAGCCCAGCCGCGCAAACCTACAACTTAGCAGGCCGTGGCAGTCTGGGTCACTGACGTCGTCGAGTTCGACGCCTCCGTCGTGGGCGTGGTAGCGGCCGGGGTGGCGGCGGGGGCCTCCGTCGCAGCGGACACCGTGGCGCTCTCCGTCGTGGCGCTCTCCGTGGCGGGGGCAGCCGTCGTGGCGGCCGGAGCCTCCGTCGTCGTGGCCGTAGCGGCGCTCGAGGCAGTCGAGGTCGTCGACGTCGACGTAGAGGACAGCGACGAGCACTTGGTCGAGAAGCCGCTCGTCAGGTCCACCACGTTGAGCACCAGCCCGCTCGTCGGCACCGTCAGGTCGCAGTCAGGCGGGTTCAAGGCAGCCACCGACTCGATCAGCGACTTGCAGTTGTCCGACGCGCACATCTTCTCGTACTGCGCGTCGTCCGGCAGCGACGTCGAGTACAGCAGGCTGAAGCCAGACTCGTCCGCGCAGCCCTGGAACGAGCTCAGCGTCAGCACGCTCGCCAGCGACGAGTACGCGCTGGTCTGGTCGGTCGACGAGCACGTCTCGGCGACGGCGGAGCCCACGAAGGCGGCGGCGGCAACGGCGAGGAAGGTCTTCGTGTTCATGGTACCTGCGTTGGCTGAAGAAAGCTGTGTGTCTGGAACAGAGCAAGTTGTGGAATGAAGAGGTGGCCTACCTGTCCGAAAAGGGCGCACACTTGGTCGCTGCAGCTGACTGGGAGCCTGGGAGGCAGGCTGAAGTCTACAGACACTGTAGGGCCACGACCTGATGCTGAGCCAGCCTTGCACCGAGGTCCGATCACTGCGAACCAGTTTTTGGTGTCAGAGCTGAAGCTGAAGCGGATCTTTGGAGGACGACTGGTGTTGCACATTGGTCAGAAGGGACATTACACACTCTGGGCGGATACAGCTAACAAGCCCAAATTAAGCTAGTTTTGGGCAATTTGGGCAACTCCGCTGATTGGTCAGCAAGGTTGAAGAGCTTGCAGGAGCGATGGCTGGGCGAGCGTCGCCCATACGAGGAGGATTGCTGCCGCTTGGAGCAGTAGTGCTGAGGGCAATGAAGCGAGGTCGCGTTGGACAAGGACATCAATGCGCAGCAGTCGAGGCCTTGGAGGAGGAGTATAGTACTAAGTTGTTATCAAAGGGAGTCCGATCTGAGCGCTCAGTTTCCGCTTCAACCTGGTTTCTTTACTGCAGTTACGGCGATGGAGTTGTGACTTTATGGTTGCGTTCGTGAGTCCATTCAGTCCTCTGATGGTGTCAACCAGAGAGCAACCTACTAGATATATCATTTGTGCGGCCTGGTGTCTGCGTCGGCTACAATCTGAGCGTCTCACTTTGCGGTATGTAGCAGGAAGGGTCGGCCGACGCAACTCAACAAGTCCGCTCTTGAAATCCGACAACGACAACATCGTCCTGTGCCAAGGGGGATCGTTGCTCTAGTCCCGGCCTTCGCTTAAGCGTCATTGTATCATCAATGACTTGTGTTGTAAAGAGGTGCTGTGGTGGCTGTTGCAATGTGTAGTACTGTGTGGCAAATTTTCGATGATGCAAAATTCTTTACCAATAAGTTGCGCCATTAGTCGAAAAGATTTTCTGCCAGCAGCTTTCCCTTGGCACGAGCACGGTACAAGAGAGATCGAGATGCCGTCGCTCTTGACGCTGCTGCTCTTCTGCGACTTCCTCGAGAACCGCCTGCACACGTCGAACCTGCTTCTGCTGCGTCGCATGTTCAGCGACTTCTGCGTCGGCAACGAGCACACGCTGCAGGACTTTATCCGTCTCGGAGCGAGTATCGTGACGGTGATGTCCATGGAGAGGACGAGTCGCGTCTACCGAGAGGAAGCGGCTCGCCTGCTGGCTCAGCAGATCAAGGAGAATTCCGACGCACAGCAGTTCCAGCTCTGCGTCTTCCGCTACCTGTCGGCGCGCGTGGCCACCAAGAACATTTTCTGGCTGCGGGACATGTTCCTCGAGTTCTGCAACGGAGACGACGCTCTGGTGCGTGCGTTCGTGAGTCGCGGCAACGAGGTCGTCAGCGTCATCCCCGTGGACATTCAGGCTCTCCAAGCGAGGTCAATGCAGTCACAGTTCGCTCCAGCGTCGGAGATGCAGCTGCAGACCGGGACTTCACTTCAAGAGAGACTGGAACAAGAACACCAATTAGATCCCTGCAGTGACTCGGAGGAGAACGAGGAGGAAGACGACGATGAGATCACGACACTCGCCGAGTTGGCTTCAGTCGCAGCAATGCCGCCGTCGGTGGAAGATCTGAACATCTGCACCATGGAGGTGCTCGATCGCATCGAGGAGCAGGAGCCTTGGAACCAAGTCTTCCGACCCAGACACGTTGCCCTTGCCCGTGAAGCGGTCCAAGTTAGCTGCAGCGTTCAAGGAGTTCTGGGCGAAGCACGCTCGCGCAGTCTGGGAGCGCCCATTCTGGGCGCCGCTGGTGGTACCTGAGCGATCGACGTCGCCATTCCGCAAGGAAGACGCGTCAAGCGGCAGCGCGCAAGGCCTTCCAGACTGTGATGAGGAGCATCTACCAAGAGCTTGGCGCCAAGTTTTTCGTCCAACTGGATCAACGCTCGAAGCCGCACAAGGGCTGGTGGTACGTGGAGCCCGTACAGGACCTCGTCACCATCGCCCAGCGCGTGGGCTTGGCTGCATGCCTCCAGTACGTCGAGTCGCAAACGCTCCAGCGATTCCCCCTTGTGCCTGGGAGAAAAGTTCGCGTGGCCAGACCGAACAACGGCAAGAGCAAGAGCATGTGGTCCGTCGCCAGCGCGATGGGGCCTATTTTGCGTGAGATCTGTGCCCTCAAGGACCGGAGCAACGGCTCGAAGCGCAAGGCCAAGAAGTGAACGCTCGAATGAGGAACGACGCGCAAACCCACTTCACGTCCAGCACAATCCACAGCCCACCCTGGTATTCATGTCGGCGTTTTATTCCTTGAAAGAGTCTAGTAAATGGCGAAGACACGCTCGAATTCATTCGTCTACGCCCAGTTGCCCAGTTGTTTCATCGCCATCATCACTTTGGAGAGAGATCGGTGTCCACTCAAGCGCCCGCTCGATGTCAGCCGCAGGTTGCCACCACTCGAGAAACACGACGTACAAATGCAAGACCGCAGCAATGACGCAGTATGGCAAATTGCTTGAGTAGGTACTTTGGTAGAATGAGGCGGCTCTTGGCGCTAGTGCTCTGCTGCGACTTACATGCACTACAATATCACCATGTGATTCTCATCCAGAAAGCGTAAACTTAAGCGTGCCCAGGGCAGCCTATTATTGCTATTGGCGAGGCTGTAGAGTTGAGCAGTATCGGGAGCAGATAGCCGTCTAAACAGCAATCAATTCAAATTCAAATTCAAAGTTGCCACGAAACAATGTGCTACAGATGCAAGTGCGGAGCCTCCAGACATTTTCCAGTCTGCCTTCAGTCGATTCATGCTCTGGAGGAGTGCACAGAGACGGAAGAGTAATGTACCGGTAAGTTATAATACCGGAGTACATGTACCGTACACACTTTATGTGTCACACACACCAGTACCTGTACTCGGCAGTGTCTGCACCACACCTTCTACGAGCCCGACCGTCTACTTCAAAAGTGGGCTCCCCCTAAAACGAGAGCCAAAAGTCGCACAAAATGGGCTCCCTCATGGTAAGTACGAGATCAAGGAGCCCTGGTTGGGGCTCCCCATTGGCTCCCCACCAGGGCTCCCCAAATTTAGCTTCAAATCTATGACGGGCTCTTCATAGTAATATCTGATTGGTCAATTTTACCTAGACTTAAGGCGAGCAACTTCGCGTGATCGATGCAGAAGATCGAGCTCAAAGATCGCCACACTAGAAGATCTCGCGCCGCTCATATGTGTACAGCCGCTCCGAGGCCACCCCAGCGTCGCTGATAGTCCTTCCTTCCCCTCAAGGAGAAGCCCTCTTTCCTATGCCTTTTCAGGTTAGAACCTGGAGATACTTCAATGACGGCCAATCATCAGCGAGATATTTAACACAGGTGAGGGGGAGCCCTTAACGAGGGCTCACAGTTCTGGAGGTCTCCTTTCACTTAACCTATTGAACCCAAGAGCCCAGGAGCCCGGCTCTCCCCAGGGCTCGTAGAAGGTGTGGTCTGCACAATGAGCATCTGATCTGATCTCGTGTCCATTTCTTCAGCGTCCCTTTTGCCCAGTTTCGTCGGCAATGGCTTCCGCTCTGCCCAAAATACCAAGTTGAAGTGACTAGCCAATCCCATCACTTGTATATCCCAAACTACACTAGATTAGGTCGTCCAAACAGACTAGTTTGGGCAGTGTATCCGCTCGGGTCGTGTGTCACGGCTGTTCGTCCCACCTCCTGACAGATGTGCAACACCAGTCGTCCCCCAAAAGATACGCTTCAGCTTTGAACCTGGTTCAGACCTGCCGCCATCAGGGACAGCCCGCCATCGCCTGCCCTCCTGACGCCCGGCCAGTTACACGCGCTCGCCCCCCCCCCAGTGGGCCCCCACCCGAGCAAATTTACCGTCCGAGGGCGACTGAAGACTGAAGCTGCCCCTTTCGGACACCAAGCAGGTCAAACGCGGCAGCTGCACGGCATCTCTTCATTCCACAACTTGCTCTGTTCCAGACACACAGCTTTCTTCAGCCAACGCAGGTACCATGAACACGAAGACCTTCCTCGCCGTTGCCGCCGCCGCCTTCGTGGGCTCCGCCGTCGCCGAGACGTGCTCGTCGACCGACCAGACCAGCGCGTACTCGTCGCTGGCGAGCGTGCTGACGCTGAGCTCGTTCCAGGGCTGCGCGGACGAGTCTGGCTTCAGCCTGCTGTACTCGACGTCGCTGCCGGACGACGCGCAGTACGAGAAGATGTGCGCGTCGGACAACTGCAAGTCGCTGATCGAGTCGGTGGCTGCCTTGAACCCGCCTGACTGCGACCTGACGGTGCCGACGAGCGGGCTGGTGCTCAACGTGGTGGACCTGACGAGCGGCTTCTCGACCAAGTGCTCGTCGCTGTCCTCTACGTCGACGTCGACGACCTCGACTGCCTCGAGCGCCGCTACGGCCACGACGACGGAGGCTCCGGCCGCCACGACGGCTGCCCCCGCCACGACGGCTGCCCCCGCCACGGAGAGCGCCACGACGGAGAGCGCCACGGTGTCCGCTGCGACGGAGGCCCCCGCCGCCACCCCGGCCGCTACCACGCCCACGACGGAGGCGTCGAACTCGACGACGTCAGTGACCCAGACTGCCACGGCCTGCTAAGTTGTAGGTTTGCGCGGCTGGGCTGTCCACGTATATATCATTCTGGGAGTCGAGTCTCGATTGCCCTGTAATAAACCTTTTCGATATCATAGGTTGGGTTGCTGCTTTGTTTCTTCTTGGATTTTGAGTGCGAATAACCTTAGCTGGATGATTCGCTTTCACGTGGCGGAGGGCCACTGCTACAGAACGGGGCGTTCATGGGAAAGAGATGCAGTATGTTGTAAAGAGACAGACCTACATACCAATTGTCGGATAGACAACCCCGAATGCTACCATAGGCCAATTCTGTCTTGCTGGATGCAGATGCGCCGATGTGTTATTGACTTCAACACGTGATGTTGAAGCGGTTTGGTTTGTCACGGCTGTTGAAGTTGCGTCTAGCCCCAACTACGATGTGGGCCTACACTGTACCATTGTTTGGGAAGCGAACTGTACAGTAGTCGTGAATTTCGCCCCGCAGATGCAGACAACCAGTCAACACACTAAATACAATACAACAGATAGATCAAACCACCGCCCTTCAAAACAAAGTGATCACTCCAATGAAAACGATGTATTATGGACCGTAATTTACGGTCTTGGCACTACCAACTACGACAGCGCTGATCCAAAGTCCAGTCTTCAAGCTGCCGAGCCACCAGGCTTCGCAGCACACAAATATAAAGGTCGGTTGTGTCACAAGATACGGGGGTAAACCCCGTCCGCTTAGCAGGCCGTGGCCGTCGAGGTGGTCGAGGTGGTCGTGGCGGTGGCCGTCTCCGTCGAGTTCGACGAAGTGGTCGTGGCGTCGCTGGCGGTCGACGCAGCCGTTGAGGTCGCGGCCGACGTGGTGGAAGCCGTCGTAGTCGTCGCGGCGGTCGAGGTCGAGGTCGTGTCAGCGCTGGTGCTGGCAGCGGTGGACGTCGTCGACGTGGAGGTGGTTGAAGTCGTGCTGGTGCTGGCCGACGAGTCGCTGTCGAGCGACGAGCAAATGCTCGAGAAGCCGTTCGCCAGCTCGTAGACGTTCACCTCCAGGCCGCTCGCGGGGACCTCCAGGGTGCAGTCGGGCGGCTTGAGCGCAATGATGGACTCGATGAGCGACTGGCAGTCGCTGGACGCGCACATCTTGACGTACTCAGCGTCCGTGGGCAGCGACGTGGAGTACAGGAGACTGTAGCCAGAGTCGTCGACACAGCCCTGGAACGAGTCGAGCGTCAGCAGGCTGGCCAGCGTCGTGTAGGCGGAGGTCTGCTGCGAGGACGAGCAGGCGTCGGAGCTGGACGAGCTGGAGGCGGCGGCTGAGCCCACGAGTGCCATGGCGGCGACGGCGAGGATGGTCTGCGCGTTCATGGTTATCTAGTAGCTGTAGGCTGGTGTCGTCTGCGTAGAGCGGAGAAAATTGAGGAATGAACTCGATGGGATGAAGTTACGAAAGCTGCTTTGCGGCCTGCGGAAGGGTCCCTGGACGGCCAAGGAGATTGTTGCTATAGCAATCACCATAGAGATCTCCTGGGGTTGTATCGGCCTCACTCAGGCCGATGGAGTTTGACATCGGATTGAAGAGTGAATCCTACGTACCCGATACCCCGATAGTGCGGGAGTGCGTCTGGGTGCCCAAATGCTCGGTCATGAACGGGTAATGGAGCCTTAGACCATGTCCCAGGGCAGTTCTGCCGCGGGCGCTATATATCAGGACGTGCGAGCGCAGCCAGACTCGCGCCTACATTGAGCAGACGAAAGCTTGGGCATATCTTGCCGTCAGGAGTCGCTCTCGGGGAGCGGTTGTCCTAACTCTAAACATGTTTTCATCGTACAGCAACGCATTGCTGTACTAGTGTTTCATTCATTACTACGCCGTGGTGTAAGCTTAGCCCGCAATCAGCATCTTCATTCATAGGGAACCGAAGATTTGCTCGGAGGCTAAAACACTGGAAATGGAAATGGTGCCCAGGAAGTCGCAGCAAGTTTTCAATAAAGACCAGTTTCACTCCACTCGAGCGCAAACTGGATCAGACCCCTCCTCAAATACTCTCCTTCATGCGCTTCCGCCGGAAGTAGTCCTGGCGAGATGTGAAAGCTTCGCACGTAACCAATCTAACATAGCACTGGCCTACAATCCTCATTCCTCAATATCCTAGCCTACAGCTACTAGATAACCATGAACGCGCAGACCATCCTCGCCGTCGCCGCCATGGCACTCGTGGGCTCAGCCGCCGCCTCCAGCTCGTCCAGCTCCGACGCCTGCTCGTCCTCGCAGCAGACCTCCGCCTACACGACGCTGGCCAGCCTGCTGACGCTCGACTCGTTCCAGGGCTGTGTCGACGACTCTGGCTACAGTCTCCTGTACTCCACGTCGCTGCCCACGGACGCTGAGTACGTCAAGATGTGCGCGTCCAGCGACTGCCAGTCGCTCATCGAGTCCATCATTGCGCTCAAGCCGCCCGACTGCACCCTGGAGGTCCCCGCGAGCGGCCTGGAGGTGAACGTCTACGAGCTGGCGAACGGCTTCTCGAGCATTTGCTCGTCGCTCGACAGCGACTCGTCGGCCAGCACCAGCACGACTTCAACCACCTCCACGTCGACGACGTCCACCGCTGCCAGCACCAGCGCTGACACGACCTCGACCTCGACCGCCGCGACGACTACGACGGCTTCCACCACGTCGGCCGCGACCTCAACGGCTGCGTCGACCGCCAGCGACGCCACGACCACTTCGTCGAACTCGACGGAGACGGCCACCGCCACGACCACCTCGACCACCTCGACGGCCACGGCCTGCTAAGCGGACGGGGTTTACCCCCGTATCTTGTGACACAACCGACCTTTATATTTGTGTGCTGCGAAGCCTGGTGGCTCGGCAGCTGAAGACTGGACTTTGGATCAGCGCTGTCGTAGTTGGTAGTGCCAAGACCGTAAATTACGGTCCATAATACATCGTTTTCATTGGAGTGATCACTTTGTTTTGAAGGGCGGTGGTTTGATCTATCTGTTGTATTGTATTTAGTGTGTTGACTGGTTGTCTGCATCTGCGGGGCGAAATTCACGACTACTGTACAGTTCGCTTCCCAAACAATGGTACAGTGTAGGCCCACATCGTAGTTGGGGCTAGACGCAACTTCAACAGCCGTGACAAACCAAACCGCTTCAACATCACGTGTTGAAGTCAATAACACATCGGCGCATCTGCATCCAGCAAGACAGAATTGGCCTATGGTAGCATTCGGGGTTGTCTATCCGACAATTGGTATGTAGGTCTGTCTCTTTACAACATACTGCATCTCTTTCCCATGAACGCCCCGTTCTGTAGCAGTGGCCCTCCGCCACGTGAAAGCGAATCATCCAGCTAAGGTTATTCGCACTCAAAATCCAAGAAGAAACAAAGCAGCAACCCAACCTATGATATCGAAAAGGTTTATTACAGGGCAATCGAGACTCGACTCCCAGAATGATATATACGTGGACAGCCCAGCCGCGCAAACCTACAACTTAGCAGGCCGTGGCAGTCTGGGTCACTGACGTCGTCGAGTTCGACGCCTCCGTCGTGGGCGTGGTAGCGGCCGGGGTGGCGGCGGGGGCCTCCGTCGCAGCGGACACCGTGGCGCTCTCCGTCGTGGCGCTCTCCGTGGCGGGGGCAGCCGTCGTGGCGGCCGGAGCCTCCGTCGTCGTGGCCGTAGCGGCGCTCGAGGCAGTCGAGGTCGTCGACGTCGACGTAGAGGACAGCGACGAGCACTTGGTCGAGAAGCCGCTCGTCAGGTCCACCACGTTGAGCACCAGCCCGCTCGTCGGCACCGTCAGGTCGCAGTCAGGCGGGTTCAAGGCAGCCACCGACTCGATCAGCGACTTGCAGTTGTCCGACGCGCACATCTTCTCGTACTGCGCGTCGTCCGGCAGCGACGTCGAGTACAGCAGGCTGAAGCCAGACTCGTCCGCGCAGCCCTGGAACGAGCTCAGCGTCAGCACGCTCGCCAGCGACGAGTACGCGCTGGTCTGGTCGGTCGACGAGCACGTCTCGGCGACGGCGGAGCCCACGAAGGCGGCGGCGGCAACGGCGAGGAAGGTCTTCGTGTTCATGGTACCTGCGTTGGCTGAAGAAAGCTGTGTGTCTGGAACAGAGCAAGTTGTGGAATGAAGAGATGCCGTGCAGCTGCCGCGTTTGACCTGCTTGGTGTCCGAAAGGGGCAGCTTCAGTCTTCAGTCGCCCTCGGACGGTAAATTTGCTCGGGTGGGGGCCCACTGGGGGGGGGGCGAGCGCGTGTAACTGGCCGGGCGTCAGGAGGGCAGGCGATGGCGGGCTGTCCCTGATGGCGGCAGGTCTGAACCAGGTTCAAAGCTGAAGCGTATCTTTTGGGGGACGACTGGTGTTGCACATCTGTCAGGAGGTGGGACGAACAGCCGTGACACACGACCCGAGCGGATACACTGCCCAAACTAGTCTGTTTGGACGACCTAATCTAGTGTAGTTTGGGATATACAAGTGATGGGATTGGCTAGTCACTTCAACTTGGTATTTTGGGCAGAGCGGAAGCCATCGCCGACGAAACTGGGCAAAAGGGACGCAGCAGATCAGAAGCCATACAAGTCGCAGCTGAACGGCTCAAGACCTGCCTTTCGATCCGAAGCGCAAGCCGATCAACTAAGTTTGATGCTGTTGACCGCTGCACTGTGAAGGAATCATGGTGCTGGAGTTCACCACCAACCTTCTAAGCCCCTCAAGGGGTTACAGTCTGCAATGGTTTTTGCACCACGGTGGTTGTTGGCATTGCGCTTTGAGTTCGAGAACGAACTGGAATCGATTCAAACTGTGAGTCTCGATGAGCGAAACTGCGCTGGGACATGATCTTGAAGGGATCCTCGTGGCGGCGATGCAGTTGCCTGGTGAAATCCTCAGCTCTTCGTTTCTGCTTGACCAGCGTCGCGCTTTGCACTGTCGAGACCACCTAAGATGCGTTTCATATCCCTCAGCAACTCTTCGACTATCCTGCATCGAGAACGGCAGGTCAAGCATTGGCATCCCGATAAAAACTATCTTGTCAGAAGTATAATGCTCTGCTCGACCAGTGTATCCGGGCGTGCCCAGGATCAATGAATATCAAGGAAAACAGGTCACACTCACCCAAGGATGATCGCAGCTTTTTTGACTGCAAAGGCTTCTTCTATCGCGTCACGGAGATGATGGCACCGATCACCATGACTCCCAACATATCCTTCCTGTTCGAATGCTCTTCCGACACCAAGGCTGGGCTCCCGTACAGTACAGTAGGGTGCATCTGCCGGTTCGCAGGGATACCATCGACGCGAAAGCTCATTCCACAACTTGCTCTGTTCCAGACACACAGCTTTCTTCAGCCAACGCAGGTACCATGAACACGAAGACCTTCCTCGCCGTTGCCGCCGCCGCCTTCGTGGGCTCCGCCGTCGCCGAGACGTGCTCGTCGACCGACCAGACCAGCGCGTACTCGTCGCTGGCGAGCGTGCTGACGCTGAGCTCGTTCCAGGGCTGCGCGGACGAGTCTGGCTTCAGCCTGCTGTACTCGACGTCGCTGCCGGACGACGCGCAGTACGAGAAGATGTGCGCGTCGGACAACTGCAAGTCGCTGATCGAGTCGGTGGCTGCCTTGAACCCGCCTGACTGCGACCTGACGGTGCCGACGAGCGGGCTGGTGCTCAACGTGGTGGACCTGACGAGCGGCTTCTCGACCAAGTGCTCGTCGCTGTCCTCTACGTCGACGTCGACGACCTCGACTGCCTCGAGCGCCGCTACGGCCACGACGACGGAGGCTCCGGCCGCCACGACGGCTGCCCCCGCCACGACGGCTGCCCCCGCCACGGAGAGCGCCACGACGGAGAGCGCCACGGTGTCCGCTGCGACGGAGGCCCCCGCCGCCACCCCGGCCGCTACCACGCCCACGACGGAGGCGTCGAACTCGACGACGTCAGTGACCCAGACTGCCACGGCCTGCTAAGTTGTTGCGACCAAGAGCTTCGTTTTCAGTATAAGGACGATGCAGATTTGGTATTGGTGAATAGCATCTCATTATTGCGTTATCCCTCATTGCCATTATGTATTGTTGCTTTTGTGGGCTTCGTCAAGCAGACCTGCCATTCAAAACTGTAGTGTTGAAGTGTATCCGATACCCCTCTATCATGGAGTCCATGTGGGATCATGAACCCTGCCCCAGTGCAAAACTCTCGCAACAAGCGAAGGCTGATGAATGTATCCACGCTCTCTGCGTCTTCATCGAGGTGCGTCACAATGGCATAGCATCGTGTAGGGAGCCGAGTGTAAAGCAAATTTGGCTCTAAACTCTCAGTGCAACAATAGCAACGATGCACTGTACAGTACAGTATCGGATACAGTCTACAGTGCAGTCAGGGGCGCTTCGTGAAGTTTGGCGGGATATCGCCACGACTGCAGCAGCAGTCAACTGCTGGAACTTCGAGTCGGAGGCTTCACCTGCGCGTTGGCCCATTGACGCAAGGCTTGTTACTCACCTGCAGACGCCGCCGGGATCCGCTATGGGACAGTTGCAAGAGGATACACCCGCCCGGGCTCTCGCGGACTCGTTGACAGTACTTCACGAGAGTCCGGGCGCAAGGATACAGTACATCTTTTTCACACCTGCAACACTGGCAAAGCCGCGAAATTACCGGTTCAATGGCGCGATAAAGGTGAAGACACGGCCACAACCAGGTCCCATGACACCCACTTTTGGCTCAGATACGCCAGGCAGGACTTGCAGCAGGTTGGCACTATGGACACTTGAGTCAACATGGGACGTAGCGGCTCTTGTCCAGCCGCAGGCTCAGGCCGGCCCAGATTGATGCTGTACCGCGCCCTTGCGCTGTTCGAACGCACGGGGCCCGGCAAGTTCACCTACTGTACAATGCGGGCCGCCTCCACTGATTCATTCTGCAACTCGCCTTCCGCAGCTCACCCCACCTCCCTACCCCACCACACTCAAGATGAACTCGCACTTCGCCGTCGCCGCCGCCGCCCTGGCCTTCGTCGCCTCCGTCAACGGTGAGGCCTGCTCGGCCACGCAGCAGGCCTCGGCCTACACGTCCATGGTGGGCCTCCTGCAGGGCACGGCGCTCAACACGTGCGCCACGGACTCGGGCTACAACATGCTGTACGCCACGTCGCTGCCGACGGCCGAGCAGACCGCCGCCATGTGCAAGGTGGACGCGTGCCACGAGCTCATCAAGAACGTGCAGGCCACCAACCCGCCCGACTGCGACCTGTCGATCCCCACGAGCGGCGCCGTCATGAACGTCAAGAGCCTGGCCGACAACTTCGAGCCCGGTTGCACGTCCGCGTCCTCGCCCGCCACGGAGGCCCCCGCCGCCACCACGGCCGCCCCGGCCCCGGCCGCCACGACCGCCCCCGCTGCTGAGACCCCCGCTTCCACCACGGCTGCCCCCGCCGCGGACTCGCCCGCCCAGCAGGACACGCCCGCGCAGGAGTCGACCCCCGCCGTCACGCCCGCTGCCACCACTGCCGCTACCCCCACCGCGTGCTAAGTGCAGGGAGGACTGAGAGCAAACGATTCGCTTCGTACCGCTACCGCTGTTAATAAGAGAGCCCTCGGGCCATTTTGTGTTATGACTTCTCTGCCTTTGTGTCTCGGTTTCATGACTTTGGTGGCACTGCAAACCGACTTCTCTGCCTTTGTGTCTCGGTTTCATGACTTTGGTGGCACTGCAAACCGCCGATCGAGTTCGAACAGCAAAATGATGGGCGGGAACAGCATCACAAGTACAGTGCCGCGTGCCTCGCCGCGTCTACTATAGCCAACACAACACACAAGAAGCCAACTACACCGGCAAACGAGAGCTGTCACCGCTCCCATCGGAGCCAGAAGGGGTATTTCAACTGAGGTAGGGAGGGAGGTCGGGCACATCAAGCCATCGATACACTAGCCCTCGCTCCAAGAGCTCTACGCTCCGAATGTCACTGCTTTCTAGCTAAGTCCTCATAACTCCGTCGACTTGCCACTGCAGAGCTGATGAGGGCCTCTTCACCTCATGCTTGCGCTTGCTGACGCTACCATCTTACAGTCCCTCGACTTCACGGCTCATCATAAAGGTCAGTTACCTAAAGTGGCAGCTTCCATTGCAGTGGCGTCCCCAGCGCTCGCGCTTCACGCAGTGATCTGTGCCAACTCCTCTCGCTTTGGGAGTTCCGAAGACGAACGTATCATTCTCACCCGACACGAGTCAAAAGCCGGGGTCCGCTCTGCCAATCGCCACCCAACTGCTCCCACGATACGAGGCCTACTTCGTCCCACGATACCCTTTGCCCCGACGCAGCCCGAACTCCGCGTTGTTCCACTCACTGCCGCCTCCGAATCCCATGCGGACCTCACCCGCCTGCTGTCCGCCCGTCTGGTTCCCGTAGTTGACATTGGGGCGCGGAGGAGGAGGGCCGAAGCTTGGCATGCCGTCCATGGGAGGTCCGTCATTCATAAAGTCATCACGCTCCATGTTCTGGAGCACGAGACGCTTCAGCTCCGACTGCTCCTTCTTTCCAGCGTTCTCCTGGCGATGGCTGTGCTGGGCCAGAGACGACGCCTCGGGCACCACCAATTGACGGGCCTCCACCTTGCCCTTGTTGCCGCGCCGCAGCATGCGGAACACCACGCCGTCGGGGGACCCGTTGGCATCAAGCGCCAGCATTCCACGCGGGCCCGCGGGCGTGAGCGAAGCGGAGCTCTTCACAACGGTAGGAATCGCCATCTTGTCCACATTGACGCGCGCCGCGGGCTTGCGGGTGTCGGTGCTCCCGTGCATCATCGACTTGAAGGCCTTCTCGAACTCCTCGTCCTCCTCGCTCTTCTGAATGCGGTCGTGAATAATAAGGTGCTCCTCCTCCTCGTCTTCGTCTTCCTCGTCGTCGTCATCGTCATCTTCATCGTCGTCCTCATCGTCATCATCCTCGTCATCCTCGTCGCCGTCGTCGCCTCCAGCGTGATCGTCATCGTCTTGTTCATCGTCGTCGTCATCATCATCGTCGTCATCCGTGTCGTCCTCCTCGTCTTCAAGGAACTCGTCATCTTCGTCAGCCGGTTGGGACAGAGACCCTTCCTCCGCGACGCTTTCGAGACCGTTCGTAGCCATGACTAGAGCCGCATTCTTCTTCGACAGACGACGCTCAGCCTCCTCCAAGTCACCACGTAGAATCTCCCGGACAGCCTGGTCAACCTCCTCCCACGTTTCGAACTTCTTGAAGTGGTCCTTCAAACTGTTGGACAGCATCTCGAACAGGTCGAACACCACAAAGTCCGTTTCCATGGGCACCTCCGTCTTGGAGAAGAGGTAGCGCTGGAAGAAAGTCATGAAACGACCGAGACGAGGCCTCGAGATGCCTCGTTCGTTGGAATTGCCGCTGTTTCCAGTTATGCTGGAGATCCCGCTGCCGTTGCAGGTCTCAATCAAGGCGCTCACAAGACGAACACGGAAAACTTCAGTCGGACCGTCCACTTCACTGGGCACGCGAGGGTCGTAGCGCATGTCGGGCACGAGCAAGAACATTTTTTTCATCTCCAACATTTGAGCAGGGGGAATTTTGTCGCTGCTGTATTGCGGTAGCGTGAGCAAGTCGTGCGAGTGATTGATCAGGAGGTAAAGGGTCTCCACCACCACGTTCATGCTCACCAGACCGCAATTGTAAAGCTCTCCCAGGAGTTTAACGTAGCCCAGACTGCGTTGGTGGTCGCGATAGTCGTTGACCTCCAAGCCGTATCGGATATGCTCCAGCACATCGTCCACCAGCAGAACCAGCACTTCATCGTGGTATCGCGACAATCCCTTTACCACCTCGCAGATCCACTTCATTTGCATCACCTTGCCCTTCGTCACCTTCAGCAGCGCCTTGAGCACCATAGCACAAGTGGAGCTTTCCTGCCACGGAAGCCGGCGAAGGGTCTTTACGGCCTTGTTGACGTTCGATCCGTTGAGGTCCTGGTACAGCACCTTAATCAGGAACAAGTACATCGGGTCGTACTGCTTCACCTGCCGCTCCACACGCTCGGGAGGCTTGCACATGTAGTACGCGTTTTCCACGAGGGTCTCCAGCTGCGGGTCCAAGTGCTTGGCCGCCTTGAGCTTCATCATGACGTTCAAGCAGTTGACCGTGCGGACATGGGTGTGCTTCGAGCAGTACAGGAAGCGACCACAGTTCTCGAGGAACGTCGTTGCCACGTGCACGTTGTGTCCCTGGAAGTCCTGGAAGCACTTCTGGAGGCACCGGAAGCCTGTGTTCGGCGGGCAGATACGGAACTTGACTAGCTCCGCCAGGAAACGGATGTTCTTGATCTTGGACTCAAGTCGGAACTGGTTGCGCCTTTTGATCAGGCCGTGAAACTCGCCCACGAGCATACCCACGAGTTCTCCACCGATATCCTCCTTCAGCACGCTCTGCAACGTGGCAACCAAGCGTGCATAATGAGATAGCAGCTCCAAGTGAGTCCGCGGCACCGCATACAGCGTCTTCACGAGGCGGTTTCGTGTCGCCTTTGAGTTGCGGTAGCAAAACTCCACTGCCGCCTTGTCACAGCGATCACGGTTCACCAGGTCCTCCAGGGAAGTAAAGAACGCGTCCAGTTGGTGGTGGTAGCTGTTGGTTGCAGCACTCGAAGAAGTTGTCGAGGCACTGGCGCTCGCATCCTCCGTGTCCTCCTTGCCCTTGCCCTCCTCCTCGTCTGTATCAGTCGCAGTAGAGTCCTTCGCTGCATCTGCCTCGATATCTTCCAGAGTCACGTCGTCGGCGTCTCCCCCGTCTTTCCCGTCATCGTCGACATTGCCCTCAGCTTCGTCCTCAATCTCCGCTTCAGCTTCTTCGTCCGCGTTAGCCGTAGCCTCCTTCTTCTTTTTGAGCTCCGCCACATCAGCCTCCGTGAGGCCAAGCACAACAGCAGGCACCAACTCCAGCAGATCCGGAAGATCCTCGTAAAATGAGCGCGTGGCTTCATCATCGAAAGGGCCGTCGCGACTGAGCTCGCGCCCGCCGCCCTCTCCTCCTTCCCAGACGAGAATTCCACCACGGCCCGATCCGTCGTCCTTCTCCTCGACGGGCAGCGGCGGCACCTCGCGGTCCAGCGCGTCGGCCAGCGAGTTGACGCTCGTCTGCAGCTTCTCGAACAGCAGCTTGGCGTTCTTGAGCTCCTGCACGTGCTCCTCCGTCACTTCTCCGCGGTTGACCTCCTCCTTCTCGTTGCGCGTGTCCAGCTTGAGGAACGTCGCGTGCTGCGCCAAGTAGAACTTGCAGATCATCTCGTACGCCTCCAGGTAGCAGGCCAGACACTGCTGCTGCACGGCCTTGGGCACCACGGGCGCCTGGCCGGTCACGAAGGCACAGAAGTCGTCGTTGTCGGCCAGCTGCTTCTCCATCTCCTTGTACTTCTTGGGCTGCACGCCGAGGAAGTCGACGCCCACCGACTTGGCGAAGCTCACGAGCAGCGGCACCTCCAGCTGCTGCGAGCCGGAGGAAGAGGAGGAGCCCATGGACATGTTGCCCTTGGACCCCCTCTTGCCGGCCCCGGGCTGCTCGCGCCGCGCGACGCGCTGGATGATGTGCGCGATGACCTGCACGTCGTCCAGCACGCCGGCCAGGTACAGCTCGCACAGCAGGCGCAGGATCAGGCGGCGCCGCAGCATCTTGCTCTTGTCGTCCGAGGCGTACGAGGCCTCGAAGCTTCCGATGAGCGCGCGCTCCATGCCGGGCGCGAACTCCTCGTAGCGCTGGTGCAGCAGCGACGCCACCTTGACGGCGGCCGCCAGGTCCGCCGCCTTGAGCGGCGCGTCGGCCAGCGCGGCCACGCACTCGCTCACGTAGCGCGTGAGGTTCAGCTCGGCCGCGTCGCGCAGCAGCGAGTCCGCGTTGCTCTCCGACAGCACGCGCAGCTTCTTGACGAAGGCGGACGACCGCTTGATGTCCGACTTGAGCTTGAGGCTCGCCAGCTGCGCGCGCGCGGCCGCCACGCCCTCCGCGCAGTTGGCCGCCCGCAGCGCCTGGCGCGCCTCGCTCAGGCGCTTCAGCTCCTGCAGCTGCGCCAGCGCCTGCACCTGCGCCTCGTCCTCCTCGTCGTCGCGCGCCATCGCTAGTGATGCCTCTTGGGCGCGAGGCTTCGTTTGCTCGGTAGTAGTCCCCAGAATATAATAGTAGTTAGTAGGTATATCACTACTACTAAAATTACTACTGATGTACTACTATAAGTTAGATCTGGGATTGGAGCCATTACGTCTCTACGTCTCGGCTTTCGATCGTCTTAGACGATGTGGCGACATTTTTTCTTATTTTTGATTGGCCAGTTATTAGCTCGATCGGCTAGGTTCATCGTCTCCAGACTGACCAATCTGAGACGACTAAATCACCAGTCTCACTTTGGAGACGAGCGTCTTCACTGCGTTTCGATGGTGCAGAGCGAAAGCATCGTTGCTGCAGTTGCTGCGGCCACGAGGGCTCTCGCGACGGCGGTCCACACCGCTGTGTGGGCAATTTCGAACCCGAAGCAGAACATCCTTACCCTGACACCGCTAGAGTTTGAGGCTATGCTTTACGACGCGGTCTACGACGAGTGGTTTCGACAGAATCTCAGGTTGACACTGCTGGTCAGTGAACACTTTGCTCTGGTTAACAGAGAGTGTTGATGCTAAGACGGCCCAC